TTTTGGTTGGTTTACATCTTTTTATAATTCTGCTGCACATTTGACCAGATTTTAGTTGATTTTCATTGTTGTGTGGTTTTTTTGTGTCACATTTTGTTTGACATCTTTTTATTGTTATTTTGTGTCACATTTCTATCATTTTGACTCTTTCTCACCATTTTGTATGTCTTTGTGGTTATTTTGTCTCTCTCTATGGATGTTTGCATTTCATTCCAGTCCTGTTGCATTTCTCTGTGGCCATTCTGTGTCTCTCTGAGGTGTTTCTGTATCGCTTTGTGGTTGTTTTGTGTCTAATCTTGGTTGTTGTTGTTGTTTTTTTTTCATCATTTTGTGTCACATTTTGGTCATTTACCCTCTGTGTGATCTTCTGTGTGTCTTTGTGGAGCACTGCTTGTGTCCCAGTGTGTGAAAATGAAGCCACATCGCCATTGCAGGATGCAGCGCTGCTTCTCCTCTCGTTCATTTCGTCCTCGTTGTGACTCATCTCCTCAGCAGCAGGGCGGTGGCGAGGGTGAGCAGGACGGTGACGGGCACCAGTAGGAGGGCCACGTACAGCAGCCACGGCTCGGGGAACTCCGGCACATCTGGCACATCCGACACTGACAAACACGAAAACCTTTATTTATCAGACTCAAACTTTATTTGTCTGATCGTCTGAGAACAAAATCTGAAAACGTTTTTCCTGAACGTGAGGCCAGACTCACCAGGGATAACTGGTGAACATGCGGTCACATTCGTCTCAGCACCTTTGGCAAAGAAAAAACATTTAGATTAAACAATTGTTGGTTTGGTCACTGCGCACCCCAGTGTCACATTTTGGTCATTTTGCATCTCTTTATGGCCATTGTAAGTCTCTTTGTGTTCATTTTCTCTCACTTTTTGATCATTTTGTATCGCTTGAAGCCATTTTCTGTCTCTTTGTCATCAGTGCTTTGTCTTTTGTGGTTGTTTGTGATTAGTTTTTGTCATTTTGTGCTGCATTTTGTATCTTTTCACAGCCATTGTAAGTCTCACTGTTACCATTTATGTTCACCTTTATTCATTTTGCATCTCTTTCTAGCCATTCTATCTGTTTGTGGTCATTTTGTTTCCCATTTTAGTTGTTGTGTGTCACATTTTATTCTCATTTAGTATTTCATTTTTTAACATTTTGTGTCTATTTGTAGCCATTCTGTCACTATTTGTGTACATTTTGTATTACTTTGTGGTAATGTTGTGTGTCTTTTTGATCGTTTTGCATCTCTTGTAGCTCTTCCTTGTCAAATTTGAGTTGTTTTGATTATTTTGCATCTCTTGTAGCCTCTTTTGGGTAATTTTATGTCAACCTTTTTTCTTTTTATTATCTCTTTAAAGCCATTTTGTGTTCTTTTGTGGTCAGTTTGAATTTTGTCATACCTTTGTTTCTCTTTGTAGTTGTTTGTGAGTAGTTTTTTATCATTATGTGTCAGATTTGAGACCTTTTATGTCACATTTTGGTCTTTTTATGTCATTTTTTAAAATTTTTGTTACATTTTGATAACTTTGTCTCATTTTAGTCATTTTATTTCACATTTTAGTCATTTTTATTACATTTTAGTAATTTTGTGTCTTATTTTGGTCATTTTATGTCACATTGCAGTCATTTTATGTGACATTTTGATAATTCTGCATGCGTTTGCAGTTGTTTGTCTTGGTTTTGTATATTTTTCCAGCCACTCTTTCTGTAGGGTGTGTAAGATTGTTACCGGGCAGGTCGCTGTGGAAGATGCTCTTCATTATCAGATCCTCCTTCAGACGCAGCTGACACTCATATTTTCCTCCAGCCTGCACAGGGATGGTTTCAGAAAGTGTGACGTACGGCTGAGCTGAGACACCGTCTCCTGCAGCTGAGATCACACTGTGGAGGCTGCAGCCGTTATGAAGGATGGACAGAGCGAAGCCGTCATCCTGCGTCACCTTGACCTCACAGTGCAGGAGCGAGGCGTTGAGGTTGGTCGGTTTAAACAGCATGGAGTCTGAAATGAGATGCAGACAGTCACCAACACATTTGTTTTGTGCTCGATTAGTCTCTAATCCAGGGTGGGCAATCCTGGTCATAGTCCTGCATGTTTTAGATGTTTCCCTCTTCCAACACACCTGATTCAAATGATCAGCTCATCATCAAGCTCTGCAGAAGCCTGATAACGATCCTGATCATTTGAATCAGGTGTGTTGGAAGAGGGGAACATCTAAAACATGCAGGACTGTGGCCCTCGAGGACCAGGATTGCCCACCCCTGCTCTAATCTCTAAAATTACACTCACTGTGCAAACAACTCCCCTGTCGCCACCGTTTTTGTCACATTTGGCAGATTTTGTGTAAAATGTTGGTGTTTTGTGTTACATTTTGGTTGTTTTATGTCACATTTTGATTGTTTTGTTTCACATTTTTGTCATTTTGCATCTCTTAGCCGTTCCATGTCTCCTTGAGGTAATTTTCTGTCATATTTAACACATTTTGTATCTTATTTTGGTCATTTTGCATGTATTTGTTAATATAAGCTGCGGCCGTTGTTGTGTATATATAAATATATATTCCTCTCACACAGTCCAAAAACATGTTGAGGTTAATTGGTGATTCTAAATTGTCCGTAGGTGTGAATGTGAGTGTGCTTGGTTGTCTGTCTCTAAGTGTGGCCCTGTGATAGACTGGTGACCTGTCCAGGGTGTCCCCTGCCTTCACCCTAAGTCAGCTCGGATAGGCTCCAGCCCCCCTGCGACCCTAGTGAGGATTAAGCGGTGTATAGATGATGGATGGATGGATATACTGTCCGTGAATATATCTCACATTAAAGGTATTTTTCTAACCTATGGATTTGAAACTAGGATGTGGTTAGAAAACAAAGCTAATTAAGGTCACATCTAACAGTTGCGCTGTTGTGGGACTTTTTTAAAACCCAGTTTCAGGTTTGTGCCTCTTTTACTGCAGTTGTTTTTCATGCGTAAGTTTGAAGAAGTTCCCTTCGTTATTTTCTTTCATATGTGCTTTTTTGAGAAACCCAGTTCATTGTAAATAGGTCAGGGTGGATCGACACAAACCAAGATTATTCAGAAATACATTAGAAATATTCTTGCGTTTACTGTGTTCCTCTTCATCCCACATCCTGAAAATGAATTATAAATAACTCACAATGACCTACACATCACGTCTGACTCAACCACAAAGGCTCAGTGCCGCAAATTTACTAAATCATTTATACAGTATTTTTTCTGTACTCCTAAATAACATACAAATAGACATAAAATGACAATAAATATCTGTCATTAAATATGTAGCTCTTCATATTATGCTCATATTAATTTAACCTTTATCTTGTAATTTGAGGCTACATATTATGAGTTTTATATCTTGTATGTTCTTTTACATTAAAACTCAAATCTAAATAAATGTTTTCCCTGTTTTGTTCAATTACAGAGCAGCACATTGTTACACGACACAGTCGGCCTGGTGAAACATCTGTCTGGAGTTAGTATGTGGAGTCAAATGAACATAAAGAGACAAATGATTAAAAAAAGGGCACAAAACTGTCCTAAAGAGGCGCAAAACAATGAAAGTCAGACACAAAACGACAAAGGCGATGCAAAACGACACAAAAAAATTCAAATAACACAGACAACAAAAAAAGATGAGACACAAAACGACTGAAATTGGACACAAATGTCCCAAAGAGACACCCAACAACACAAATGAGAAACAAAACAACTTAACAAGACAGAAAAGCACAAAAATGACACACAAAACTACAAAAAAGCCACAATATGAAAGAAACACCAATGAGAAAAACGAGAGACAAAATGTGACACACAACTACTGAAATTAGACACAACTGTCCGAAAGAGACACAGTGCAACAAAAATGAGACACAAAATGACAAAAAAAGATGCTTGATAATAAAAATGAAGCAAAAAACAACTCAAACAAGACAGAAAACAATAACGAGACACAAAAGCAACAAAACAAAAACAAAATGAGACACGAAAGTGCTGAAATTAGACACAACTGTCCCAAAGAGACACAAAGCAACAAAAATGAGACACAAATTGACAAAAACAAAACAGAAAACAATAAAAACAAGACACAAAGGCCACAAAACAAGGACAAAATGAGACACAAAACTGCCAATATGAGTCAAAATTATCCTGAAGAGACACCAAGCAACACAAATGAGATATAAAACGACATAAATAAGAGACAAAATATAAACAAAACCAAATGAGACAGAAAATGACAAGACACGAATAAGAAAAGAAATGCGAGAATGAGACAAAACTATCCAAAAATCAACTTAAAGACTTATGTTTATGCTACCAGTCATAAAGTCATTAAAAAGACTTTTGATCGAACACTAATTCTCCAAACTCAGTGTAGTTTGTTGGTTGAATCTATGTCATTGAAAGCTGCTTGAAGTGAAAAAAAAAAATTCTTGTTGTGTCCAAACATCTGAAACAAAAAACTCCAAACCTTATATTTACCATAAACCATGAGTGATGTTAGGTTTCCTTTTATCCTGAAACTCTTTTTCCTCTTTGGGGTGACAGACAGTTTGCACTGGTACCGTCCACTGTCGGCCCACTGGACTTTCTGCAGAACTATGGACTTGTTCCAAGAAACCCTGCTGTCGTCCAGAAGCTGGACACGTCCCTTGTACATCTCAGAGGGAGCCCACAGTTTGTTACTGCTGTTATGTAGTAAATGGTCCCAGTACAGGACTGGTTTGTACTCCAAGTCCTCATCATGGGAGAGCTGGAGCTCGCAGGGCATGATGACGTCTTGACCCAGAGCGGCGGCGAGGATGGGCGGCTGGTGAACAGTGACCAGCGAGAGGACGCCTGAAACATAACCACAAAGCAAAACTGTCTAACTAAGTTGTATTACACTGCAGTAACTGTATTTTTCCCTATTTTGTTAAATGGCAGATCATATCTAGTAAAACCACAGAAGAAATTTACACGTCAACCATGAAAAAACTGTTAACCAGTGTCCGCATAAAAAATTGGTATTTTTATAAGTAGCATTTTTCTTGTACATTTGACCACAAGAAATTTTTAACTGTAATTTAAACCTGTTTTAAATGCTCATTTACATGTAAAGAAAAAAAAAAACTTAAAAGAAAATGTGTATCAAAAAATGCATTTTAAAATCAGCAATCATCAAATGAGCAAAAAGTAAAATAATTTTACAGATGAATAACAATTGTGTATATTAAGGTTTGGAAAATGGAAATGAAAAT